ACGTTGATGTGGCTGACTTCAGGGACAGTATCTGGACCTGGAACGTTGATGTAGCTGCCTTCAGGGACAGTATCTGGACCTGGAACGTTCATGTGGCTGCCTTCAGGGACAGTATCTGGACCTTGAACGTTCATGTGGCTGACTTCAGGGACAGTATCTAGACCTGCAACATTCGTGTGGCTGCCTTCTTGAAGAACAACATCTCCAACTGGTAACAAATTATCATCATTGTTGACTTCGGGATACAGATCTGTTGAATAAGGCATGATGACAATATCACTGCCACCAACTTGGTCGGTCAAGTGGCTTACACTAGGAATGGCACTTCGGTTAACATGACCACCATTATCTAACAGGTTAGGATGGTCTCTATCACCAACTATTGTGGCTTGGTTCTCATCAGGCGAATAATGAAGATCATTGCCAAAATCACCCCAACTAACAGTGCTATTAAAATTATGACTTTCCTCACTCTCTGAAAGTATAAAGTCAATGAACTCTGAAGTTCCATCATTAAATAATGAGTGAAAATCAGTAGAAACATTATCCTCGGAAATTCCATCAAATGGGATGTCCAAATCGATTTCATCCGATGCAAAGTCGGAAATAATAGAGTCAATATGCTCGAAGACTTCATTCAGTGGGAAGTCTGAATTAATAGAGCCCAGGCTCTCTGGGATGAATTCATCCCATGTGAATCCATTCTGATCTCTTTCTCCTACTTCTTTCTCGTGACACCACTGGTCATTTTCCTGGTGATCTAAGTCATAAGGAATGTTGTTCTCTCTGTTCAGAATGGACTCATCTCGATGCGGTTCAGTGCTCTGTGGATGAGACTCGCCAGGCGGTGGTTCGCCCATGGCTTTGCTCTACTTTGAAGGCACCAAATGTATTCTGGAAATAATAATAAAAAAATTAGCCAGCTGAGACTTCACAAATGCAAAAATTGCAAATTTTGGTGTTAATTGTTGACAACACATAACAGGAAGAAGTAGAGTGGATTTCGTATGACTGTGCAAACGGCACGAATCATGGCACTGACACGGGATATCGCCTTCTATAGTCGGCAACACGGTACGGTACGGCCACGGAGCGAAGTTGCCATGTTTTTTTTCATAGTCTTATGAAACCCGCTCTATGCGTACTCTATGCCGCTATCGTCATTTAGCACTGTATTGCTATATTAACAAAATTATTAATTGAATGCGCAATATTGAAAATAATGTTGTGTCATTTGATGGATTCCCACACACTCTTGATTGTGTGGAGTGTATTTTTGTCCACATGGATTTATCGAAGTGCTAATACTATACAAGATCCTTATTAAAACTGAGTGCATAGAGGAGGATTCAGAAATTTATCAGAGAGTGTCCATAGTGAGGTATGACCTGATAGAATACACATTCATAGAATGATGAGTTATTTTCTACGCTGTGTTAGTAGTAAAAGTGAATATGTTCTATTATATCATTACAGTACAAATTATCATTGGTCACGTGCCATATGGGTTAAAAATAACGTATTATTTTCTGTGTCAGAGGGTTTCCACCAAACCTGGCATTCTCTTGGATCTACCCATGGTGCATTTTACAAGCGAGACGTATTGCTTATCTAAATTCTTTTTCATTGATACATTGCCCGCTTCCTCTTTGCCTACATTGTAGTAAAGCAAGTTTATGGCCTGCATGTTCTAGGTAGTTGCCCAGGACCTATGCTATATTTTTACCAACACATATACTTCACAAAATGATCACATAATCAGCACATTTCTAGAGCATACAGACACCTTGCACCACTTACAACTCTTACCTGGTAATTTAGAAATGCTATATATGTCTTTAAGTATCTGTAATACAATCGCTTGATTATTCCATATATACGTCTGAGTATCTCAGCTTCATAGAATGGTGTGGGTATCAGATCCATTTTGAATGTCAATCGATAAATTCTTGTAATTGTCATAACTCTGCAAGTTAAAACAAAAACACGCTAGTAACAAATAAGATGTTTTAATTTGTTCAAATTAGAGTTTCGACGTTCATTTATTCAGTCCTTTCCTTGAAGAAACAATTAATGTAAAACTTGCAATACCAATACAATAAAGCCGAGAAAACATTATTATGGCACGCCGTTTGTTTCAATAATACTTCTTTTACATAATTAAACCTTTTCTCCACATAAGTAATACTTCTTTGTTAATATATGGTACTTCCTTTCCTTTATAGCAAGCTTTCTTTCTATAAAAATACTTAGTGCCGTACAACTCAAACTTGTCAGAAAACAAGACTTCGAGCTACATATAAAACTTGTAACGCAATCCCTTCGAGCCCAGTTTCCCGCGGTCAGCATGTGACATGAGTTGAATGTGTGTGAGTCAGCGGTATAGTTTGAATTGCAGTTATTGAGCCATCATTCTTGCCTCCTCCGAAGCAAAGTTGTTCTGAAAATGCCAATCATTGTTGATATTTTCGTTAAGAAAAATATCACGTCCTTTAATCCCACCACTTGATTTCTTGACACAACAAAACGCGTCCTCCCTTGGCCAATCTCGTACCCAGAGCCCACACTTTTGCCATCCAGCGGATGTCAATGCGTGAGAGACTCTGGAGGAAACAATTTTTTCTCGATTCGTGATTGGTTGAAAATGACGCGAGCGCGCATTGTTTTCAAATCGGTTTTTCAAGTCGCCAGCGCGCGCTCGCCTGTTTGATCAAAAATATCATACTATTATCGCATAACCACACATGTTTTCACACATTTGTGTTTTTTTAAAAGTTGTCAATACTGTTCCTAAACTAAGTTGTGTGCTAAGCCTTCTTCTTTTTTATCATTTTGATGCTCTAAAGCGGCAAAAACAAAACTGACCTAATTTGCATAATTTGCGACGGAAAAGCGTCGCAAATCCAGTCGATTCCTCCAGAGTCTTTCCGGCGTCAGCATACCGCTGACATTAGCCGTGAAGACTCTGGGCTCGAGATTGTCCCTTGGCATATGAGGTCATATGACAGCGTTCTTTTATCCTTTGTGTCATGTCACTGTACATCTCAATAAGTGCATCTAGGGTCCGAAGTGGGGGCAATCCGGGGTAAAAGTACCGGGGATGATCGTCAGAATTTTTAAAAAAGGACCCCTAAAATATCCCGTACGTCTTGAAAAAAGGGCGTGGCTGACCCCTGAGGGATTGCAAAGCCAATATTGAAAAATCAAATCAGTTCCAATGATGAACAACGCAGAGGAAAATCAATATCGATGCGCTCATTCTCTTCTTTTCCAACACCCTAAGAGATTGCAGAAATTTCCAGAAACTTCCAATTGGCACCCTAAAAGATTCCCAATCACAAATTTTTACCCCTAAGAGACCCGACAAGCATCCCCGGTACTTTTACTAGGGTTTCTGTGAACTCTATACAATCAGCATCCACTGACACTGTTGAAACATTTAACATTCAACACGTAAAGCAAATTAAAATTGTAAGTTGACGACACATTTGACATTTATTTAATAGAAGTTTGAGCCCATGGTCCGTCTCCAATTTTGAAGGAAGTTGGAAAAGAAAAAATTTGATTAAACCACATCTTTTTACCTGATAAAATCACTAGCCATTTGGTGACATCTCCTTATTAATTCTTTTTTTCTTTCTTTCCTCCTTTTAAACCTGCAAAGAAAAAGTGTAATAATCAAAGTGTAACAGTTGATACTTGGGACTGCCAAATTGCGAGCCTTTACGAATTCTTTTTTGATACTCCTAAATCGAGAATAAATTTTATTTAATTTATTTTTTTAGCTTTTTTGTTGTTGTTGTTTTTTTAATCTTTGCAGGGTGGTTGACAGGCATCGAGTCGGTTCATACTAGAAACAAATGATTGTTGCCTTCGTGCGGGCTCCCTGTGTTTTGAATGCTTTTTTGTTGGGCAGACGTATGGGGATGTGTGTACGTTCAGGAAACAGGAAATAGGCAAATAACCTAATAAGTAGCCTAAAATTTTTTTTAACTACATTTGCATCCCCTATGCCTACATAAACACATGAATTTACATTCCCTATGTACTACATAAACACCTAGCTCATCTCCCTTCTTCTCATGGGTTGTATCAAAATTTGATTATTGTATCTTGTATTGTATTTTATATGTGCAATGAAAGTGAATTAAATTTAAAAATGAATTTACATTTAATACCTTATGCCTACATACACACCTAATATCCAGACTCATCTCCCACGTTCTCCTGTCCATGTACATGTCCAATCTGTGCAATAAAATAGAATCAAAATGTGGATTTAATCAGCACATGAATTTACATTCCATATGCCAACATACATGTGTTAGTGTCAAGCATCGTGGCTGAATAAAGCTCGAGATTACGCCCGAATCTGTTCTCTATTTCTTACACGTATATCATACAATCTGTTGATATTTGCCTTAATTAATTGATCAATTAATCTGCAATCAAATAGAATGAAACGTGGTGCTGCGTGCCTGTGTGTATGTGTGTGTTTGTGGAGGGGGGGGGGATTGGGGGTCGGGGTCTGGTTTAAACTCAACTCCAGTTTCGAGATCTTTTTATTTGCGCAGTCTTAACCTTGAAAGCATGCGATATATTCTTTTATTTTATTATAATTGAAATACAGACACTCTGTGTACAAAGAAGACAATGAAAATTTATGCATGATTAAAGCTTAGCCTGCGTAACATCCGGTTTATTTCGCAAAAATTATTTTTGCGAAATAAACCGGATGTATTGCAGGCTATTGAAGCTAAGTTTGTACAAGTAACTGAATCAGATGCAGTCAGTATACATCAAGTAAAAATTTGTAACTAAAAATTGATGTGTGCAATGTAAGGTTTCTTTCCCTTTCACTAAAAAACTAATATTGATACAGTCATTGCAACAATTCTAACCGCTATCATATATCATGATTATACACTAGTCAAAGAAACCCCCCCCCTCTCTCTCTCTCTCCCCAACCCGGGACAGGGTGGGGATATGTGGGGCATTTGAAAAATGGACTTGGCAAACCTTGACCCCCTGGGGCCAAAAACCAAAACGGAAAACTATTATAACGTTACTATGAACTTTATATTATTATATTAAGTGAAACAACATGCCATTTTGAATGAAATTTTAAAATGTGGTCCCGGCCAAGCCCCACATAGTCCCACCCTGTCCTGGATTGAGGGGAGAGGGGGGGGGGGGGTTACTTTGACTAGTGCATTATATCAGGTGCATCATTGGTAATTTCATGTGATTTTTTGCTCTTCTCTCTCAAGACAAACAGTTCTCACAAATTGTTTTGCTTATACAGCGCACAAAAAAAAAATGGATCGACATTTTTAGGGATAGGCTGTGGTGGATACAGTTTGTGGTTTGTCCCACCATAGTTACTGTAACTATGGTCTCACAGGGGATGAAGAGGATTGATGATGATTAGAAAAAACACTTAACATGATAAAATTTGATTAAACCACATCTTTGTTACCTTAAATCCATCTCCTGACGTCTAATGGCTTCAATTATACTGCAAGAAAAAGTGTAATAATCAAAGTATAACAATTCTCCAGTTTCGAGTTCTGGTTTGCTCTGTGTTAGCCTCAAAACCAAGCAACAAATTCTTTTGTTTCATTGATAGCCCGAGAAAACGCATGGAATTTGAAAAGAAAGACAATGGAATTGATTTGAAATTCTCACACTTTTTTTCTCACAATTAGGAATGTTTTGCGCACAAATGAGGCTAACACACTGAGCACTGGAGAATTCAAAACTGGATTACTGATACTTGGGGTTGCCAAATTGCGAGCATTTATTAACGAATTCCATTTTTGATACCCATAAATCGAGAATAAATTTTTTTCATTTTTTATGTTTGTTGTTGTTGTTGTTGTTGTTTTGTTTTTTAATCTTTGCAGGGTGGTTGACAACATCGAATCTCAGGTAGCCTGAGATTTTTTAATTGCCCTATTTCATTATGACGTCACAGTATGTTTACATCGGAAAACGATGCTCGAAAACAGTGGAAATTTGGATCCATTTATATTGTATAATAAAGTAGAACCTCAGTGAATCGTCGCGTTTTTGATATATATCATGTATAAATGATTGTTCATGTACATTTTATTTGATATGCAGTCACTCTGATCCCTTCTGGCGACCACAATCCTTAGCGATAAAACAATAGAATGTTTTGATGTGACGTCATAATGAACTAGGGCAATTGCCTGACGTATATTGTTCCAAAAAAACTACATGTAAGGCAATCGAATTTTTATTCTTTTTCTTGGGAAAATTGATAGAACAGCAATAAGTTCATTTAAATTGCCACAACAAGTAGGAAATACAGCTGTTTGACTACATAGATTCTATATAGAGTCTCAATAGATAAACAAGTTGACTTAAGTCCCATCGTCATGAGCAATTTTTATGTGGCAATTTTTATGTGACCATTTTTATGTGACCATTTTTAATTGCCCGTGTAGATGAGCAAAATTGGTCAATTTTTATGTGACAGCTGCAAGTAGTTGCTGGAAAGCTGGCATGCTAGTTTTTATATGACAACTAAAAATTGTCACATATTGAAATTGCCCGCGTGGACGAGCGTCGACCCCACATAAAATTGCCTCAAAACCTCAAAACCCTGACCCCGTTCCAGAGTAGAATCGCTGAAACTATACCCTGTTCCAGGGTAAAATCTCTGAAAACGATACCCTAGTGTTCCGAGATAAACTAACACCAGAGTTAGGATTCGAGTTAGGGAATCGAGTTAGGGAATCGTGTTAAGGAATCGAGTTAGGGAATCGAGTTAGGGAATCGAGTTAAGGATTCGAGTTAGGGAATCGAGTTAAGGGAATCCGATTAATATTAGATTATGTCAGGCATAGGTGTATAAATCGAAATTGTCTTCAGATTCAGTGAAATCTACAATCAACCTCGTCATCTGACTCTATATTGGATTCTTTTCGTTTTGTAAAGAACACTACGTATTATCCCCTTGAGACTCGACAGCAAGTATATATATCAGAATAAGTGTGTAATTGACACACGGCGTAATGAGTGTAAAACGAGACTTTTTTTGACTCAATGTCCTACTCAATAATCTACTTAATATCTACTTAATGATCTTCGTTATAGTTTATGCGTTTTTCTTATAATGTATTCCGCCATTCCAAGATATCAGAAAAAGTTACACTGAAGTGCAGGAAATTATCTAAAACCACTCGATATCTTCTGTGATTGAAGACTAGTGTCACTTTGTTTTTTTTGGTTTGGTCTACTCGACGGATTAAAACTCGGCGCAGCATGCGAAGATAAAAAACAAGATCTAGTTGAAAAAATATAAGGCGAACACGAGAATTGGAAACAATGTTTTGAGCACATATTGTTTTGTTTTGGAACGAGTTAAAAACTTGGCCCGATTTGATCGCCGTCCTGACGAACTGGATCATCGCAGTTCCTCCTAACATATTTTCTAATTGAAAGGAAGCCCGAAATGGACTGCGGTATTTTGATGAATTACAGCTCATTACTAGTTACGTTTTCTCTTTATCATATGACGTAGAATTATCTGGGAACTTTGCATTGCAGGATTTATTAGTATTATGCCAATCTGACATTTTCAAAATCGCGGAATGTCCACGAAATAAATACCATGGATTCATGACCTTATTATTATCGATGAAATTACACAGGCTCCAAAGGCTTTTACTTCATGATACAGGCTGGTCGGTGACCATTTATTAAACTAGCAGTGTCGCCTAGCGTGATGCGAAATGCGGTGACAAGATCAAGCATATTATAGCTCTGCTATTATTTATGTATTTCAATTTTGTGTTTAAATCGAACTAATCGATTTCCTAACTCGATTTCCTAACTCGATTCCCTAACTCGATTCCCTAACTCGATTCTAACTCGATTCCCTAACTCGATTCCCTAACTCGATTCTAACTCGATTCCCTAACTCGATTCC